GCTGGCAGACGCATACAGAATCACACGGATGCAGCCAGGCATGTGCCCATCCCGACACAGACCCACATACACTGAATTGTCTGCACCCACCCACACTAACACGCACCCACCCATGCTGGCCCCCACAAGAGACCCACCGGAATCATAGGCCGACCCGTGTAATCGTACATGCGTGTCACCATAAGCAGCGTGCACGTTCCCTCCCCCCTGTGCAGACTGTCCCACACCCCCCCTTGCCAGAGCTCTGTGTTCGGACACCTGAGTGCTTGCAGGGGTGGGGGGGGGGGCGTGGGAGTTGGGGGAACTGTCTCGCTCTCTGACACCCCCTCTCTGGTTGCCATGCCGACACTGGGGGGAGGGAACAGAGATGCCAGTGGATCCCTGTGGCTGGTATAGGATGCTCCTTATCTCATTTTGGAAGGGGGGGGGCTGTGTAGCACCTGGCATGATGGGGGGGCATCGCCATCAGGGTCCTGGCACAGTGCGAGGGGGGGCCCAAATCCCAGTTGCTGTTTATGCACCACCTGGCATAACATACCTATGCTAGCTGCCTGCATGCCCCCCCACACACCTTGGAAAGGCTCTGGGCATCTCCAGCAGAAATCCCCCCCCCCACTTCCCCCCAGCAGCTCCCTCTGTTCCTCACTGTCTGCCTGTTTACCCCCCTGCTGCAGGTGTTTGCTCGATGAGATCCCACCTGTCCCAGGGCTGGGGGGCGGGGGACGCCCCGCAATCTGTCTGGCCTGGAGGGCTGCCCGGCCCCTCCTGCTGTGGGGCTGGAGCTGCGGTGAACCCGGGGAGGGAGAAGCGTTTGAAGGGCCCCCACCAGCCGCAGCCTGGCAAGGGTCAGGCACCCTCTGCGATGGGTGAGCCCGGCTTTGGTTGTGGGCAAACGGCCGAGTCTCTGTCGGTGCAGCCTGAGCCACGGATCCCATGTGGACAGGGGGCACGCGACCACCCCGACGGGGCCCAGGACCCAGTGAGCACAGGGACTCCAGTGCACCAGGAGGACCCAGCCACCTGCCTGCAGAACCCAGCTGCTGCTA